ATGCCATCTACCACTGGAGTTTTGCTTCTCGACCAGACCTGCAGCAGGAGGCGTAGCGAGCACCTGTGGCGGTGATTTTCCCAACAAGTGGCTTGGTCGTTTCTAGGCCATCTGAAAAATATGAGAGTCAAGTGGGATCATCCCCCTATCTTGGGTTGACAGTAAGAAAAACATGAGACCACCAGCCAGAAGAATATTCGTCGTTGCGTTGTCCCATCTGATGTGATTGGACATACTTGTCCAAGGAAGTTTAGAAGTCAAACTTCCGACAATATGGACAGATGGAAAAGCAGAGGTGGGAAGAGTCAGGGAGGAGAAGAGCAGAAGAGAGAAGGTCAGAGAAGAGAAAAAGTGAGAAGAAAGAAGATGCAGGTGCGCGAAAAGGTAAGAAAGTCGCAAAACACTGGTGTTTTTCCAATGATTTGAATTTGTGGCGAAAAGTAGGCTCGCTAAAGCGGCCGGTGCAGAGCCATGTGGTCAAATGAGAGATGAAAAGTTGCACGCCGTTGTGGCGCGAAGAACATTTCCAAGTCTAAATGTACAAAAAACACCAGCATCGGACCACTTTTGGAAGTTGATATGTCATCCTAAATGATGTTTTTCCTGAAATGGGTGACACATACGGGAAAATTAAAGGTTTCGGGTTACCAGTTACCATTATTTATCCATTAATTATTTGTATTTCAAGGAACCACCACATGTGCTTCCTACCGCAGCCCCTTTCTTTCTGAAGCTAGGCTCGCCACTGTCCGCCTCTGAAGCTGGATCCCCTGGCTCACAGCAATGGACCCAGGACTCAGGACCACTTTAATAGCAATCGACATCCATATATTGTGGATCTTGGGACCAATAGTAACAACATAAAGATAGTAAAGATCCATATGTGCAATAGTTTTAACATCAAAATCCATTGACTTTAATAGTAATCTCTTCAACAGATTTTTCGCAACATCTGATCTTTTTATCCGGGCGCACCATTTGGACCCCCAATCGTCTTTGTCAGCAGACAGACTTTGCGTTTGCTTAGCTTGGGATAGACTCAGTCAGTCCTGCAGGATGTGAATTTCCATCGCGTGTCACCACTAGATTTTTACAGCTGTGCTCAACACAAAACCCAGAGATATTTGGCAGCCTGGTAAGCCCAACGGTAAACCCATCCCCAACTTGCCAGAAATGGCTCCCACAAACTAAACTAACCACTTCCATGTCAATGTGGAGGTTTATTTTTGGTTTTACCACATTGCACCTACGTAGGGATATACCTAACCCAACTTGGCTACTTATTCAGAACAATGATAGAGCATTTGGTGCAGAATGTGTCATTTTTTGTTGGTCCAACACTTTATGGCAGAAATGAGCAGCTCGTTGCCTGCTGCAGCATCTGCCGGACCATCGAACTGAGACAGCGCCTACAGTAGCGGCCAGATCCAACAATCAGCTTGAGTTGTTACTCCCTTTGGGTCATGGGTATCGGTAACAATTTGGTACTTTAGAAAAGGATCGGCACCTTGAAAATGACAAAAGCTTCTGGGTTAGTGACAAACTTGACGTTTCGCATCACTAAGTAATTAAATGAACAGTCTGGTACCGGTACTCTAAGATGGTGATGGAACATCCAAGTTCAATAGGTCAATCATCTACAAAAGCGAGATTCTCCAGGCAAAAATCTTGGCTTGCCAGGCTTTTTCGGAGGGTACCGCTGCGCACTATTGCCTATTATAAGACAAAAACCAAACCCCGGTACCCTTTATTTGTTAACCTTGCGCTATGTTTTTCGTCCCTTATGTTCTTAAAGTAATTGTCCTCATTATCTACATATTATTTTTGAAAGTATTATTTTCACTGATTTTCCCCAATGAAAAAAATGTGCTTCCCCTAGCGTCCTAGTTGCATGGTGGCGATCTGAGCCTTCGATTCAAGGCGATTGGCCATCGAAGACAGTCGCTGCCGCATCTCCGATCTCCTGCAAGGCTGCCAGATATGGGGCTGGTTGGCTTTCAGCCAAAAAGAGAACTAGCACAATGGCCCACAATATCACAATTCAAGTCTAACATCACCCGAACCTTGGAGGTATCATCTTCAACCAGCATTAAAGGTGGTGTTAAGACACTAAGCTACCTCTGGGCGCGAATAGCCTGAGATGTCGTAAGGACTCCCCCAGTGGAGGTTCATCTTTAGTTCCCCAAACAATGGGTCCACACTGAGGGGTTCTTAGTAAATGTAAAGGCCGGTGATTGATCAGGGTGGTCTATTTGTGCCCTGGCATTTTACCTGAAAATTATCGCGCAAAATGGCTCTTCTGAAATGTCCCCGTGCATTTCGATTGCGCCGGCTCGCACAAAGTGTGGGTCGCGGGCGTGGGCCCCGGCATTTTTCCTGTAAATTCTCGCATAAACTGGCACGTGTGACACGTCCAAGTGCATTTCGACCTCGCAGGCTCGCACAAAGTGTGGGTCGCGATCCTGGGCCCCGGCATTTTTCCTATGAATTATCGCATGAAGTGGCTCTTGTGAAACATTTCAACTGTGCAGGCTCGCACAAAGTGTGGGTCGCGATCCTGGGCCCCTGTGTTTTTCTGTGAATTCTCGCGCAAAATGGCTTGTGTGAAATGTCCAAGTGCATTTCGACTGCGCAGGCTCGCACAAAGTGTGGGTCCCGGTCTTGGGATCGGTCCTCCTCAACATCATCATCCTCAACAACATCATCTTCCTCGTCCTCAACATCATCATTCTCAACATCATCATCTTCCTCCCCCTTGACCTCATCATCCTTAACTTCATCAACCTCAACCTCATCTTCCGCAACATCAACATTATCATCCTTTTCATAACCCTCCTAGACATTACCATCCTCAACATCATCATCCTCAACATCCTCCTCCTGCACCTTACCATCCTCAACATCATCATCGTCAACATCATCATCATCAACATCATCTTCCTCCTCCTCCTCATCATCATCATGATCATCATCATGATCATCATCATGATCATAATCATGATCATCATCATGATCATCATCATGATCAACATCATGATCATCATCATGACAATCATCATGATCATCATCATGATCATCATCATGATCATCATCATGATCATCATCATGATCACCATCATGATCATCATCATGATGATCATCATGATGATCATCATGATAATCATCATTATCATCATCATGATCATCATCATGATCATCATCAACCACCACATCATCATCATCATCATCATCAACAACAACAACAACATCAAAATCAACATCAACATTATCATCATACATTATCCTCCCACTTCCCCAAATAGTGTGGTCTCTTGCCGGATTTTCTTTAGCAGAATAAATGAGAAGCCCACGTGCATTGCACTCCTACCAGTAACATCTGCCAGTGGCAGGATCTCTTTAGCCGGAAACTATGGGAACATCCTCTGTCACCATGGAAACGATCCACACACTTTTTACATGCCCCATAAATAGTCAAAACTGTGAACACTGTCAACCCAAAAAAAATGAGAATCATTGAATGCAAAAAACACCCAATGAATTCTGTAATTGCGGGTAGTTGGGGCCGTCACCAGGGCACTTCCCTCCATGGCCCATATTGCCAGAGTGTGAAGATATGCTCATATCCTGCCGTGGGCCGCATCTTCGTTGCCTGCGCTGAAATTTGGAACTTCCCTCTGGTGCTTGAAGCACCTAGGACCCACAAAAAGTATGATTGTCAACTCATGCCAGGTAGGACTGAGAAAAACAACTCTTTTGGACCCAATTCCAATTTCATCAATTCCCGTGATTTTCCGGACCGACTCGATTTCTTGTAGACAGTGGAAGGTGCAGGACAACATCCATTGAGGGTTGGATCCTAACAAAACGAAGGCGTCAGCCTTTCGCCCTGGCATCCAAGGACTTTCCCCGGGCTCAGCTTTGTGTTGGCTTTTTTTGCCTTCATTTCCTCATGGGTCCTCAACATAGAAAAAACTCTGCCTTAAATTTAGTGTTCCGTTTATCTTTGTGGATCCCTATACTTCTAGATAATTCTATATAATTAATATATATATATAGAGTATGTATTCATTATATATTCATTATATATGATCCATACTGATCCATTATGATCCAAGATGATCTTGTCGTAGCCTCTTTTTCTGCGCTCCTTAGCGACTCCGTAGTGCGAGGACGGGATCAGGGCGCGGCGGATGGATTAGGTGGCCATGACTCGATGCTCAGGCCGCCAGTGGTTCAAGGGAATCCCATTCATGAGCCCTTTATGTGGGTCGTTAAAGGCTTAATGGTGACATAGCATATCAACGAATATCGGATATATCATAGCATAGTGACCTTCACCAAAGGATACTTCAGAATAGCTTGAAAAAGCCGCCAGAAGTTCATGAAGATTCAGGAAAACCTTAGCCTTGTGAGGAGACAATTTTGGTAACAAATGGTGAAAGTAGGTGTTAGACTGACAAAACAGCATAATGGCCTGACGGTTGCATTTCAACTGCCAAAGTAAGCAGTAAAAGGACACCTAGAATCAAATGGACATATCATATCCATTCATATCCCATTCACACTCTAGTTGTTCGCCTAACTATGCAATCCAAACATACTTATCAGCACCAACATGCGTTTTCAAAGCTTTCGTTGAGTCTCCCTTGCACCACTTTAAATTGAATGGAGATGGAGCTCCATCTTTCCTTCTGCTATCAAGCAATAAAGCGGGCATTGCACGCTGAAAACACAACATCATCGACGGTGTTTTGAGCACCTGAGAAAGTCAAAGCTAGGAGTCACCAATCAGCATGGGGCCATGAGCAGTATTGCTGCATCCAAGAAAAGTGAGGCTCTTGACTTTCCAGGTCGATTTGAACAGCCTGGGTTGCTTGTGCCCACTTTGCTCGAGCTGTCCAAAATTGTCACGTGGTATGTTCAGCCAAAGCAGCATCACAAACACGCTCTAGTTGCTCTAATAGACGGGCTTACACTACCGGAAAGTCTGTAGTATTCCCCCTGTCTCGTTCACCTTTCAATCTTAGCCAGCAAACATTTTAGGCAAAGGAAGTCCCCCCTGACTGAGCCATTTACAGATCTCAGCAAGAGGAGGGTAACAACCTTCAACAACTGCAGCGATTGCGGCTCACTTCCTGGCACAGGATGGACAGCAAAACATTGGAGATCCTGATGGTTAAGCCACCCATCCCGAAAAAATGGATCCCTAGTCATCCCTAGTCCATATATGGATCATCCACCAACCAATGGATAACAATTGATTTGAAACTTGAAACATTTAAACACCACCAACCGGCATTTTTGTTGAAGCATTTCGCTGCAGAAAATGAATGACCCATTCCACATTTTCATATTCTGCTGCCTTCTTCCCCACCGTTCACCGCATCAACCAGCAACAGTCAGCACCGTTTTGGGCACCCAGTACCGATCGGGAGGGATTGACATCTGAGCTCCAGACGTCGTACTTTGCTTGCCACTTGTCCTCAATGTCTGGAATCACAATTGGAACTTATATTAGATCTTTTATTCAACAAAAAATGCACGGTGTGACCCACATTTTGAGCAATTTTTAGTTTTTGCGGCAGCTTTTTATGGCAGCTATGTAAGGGTCACCAGTTGGTTGGGCTTAGTGGTTTGAAAACAACTTGTACAGATACTTACAAAAGTCAAACAAATTTAATGTATTGATCCATTCCGTTATCTATGTCACCTAGTTTCATCATCTTTTTGGCCAAGTCTCAACCTCTTTTCCTCGCATTCCAACTCGGACTCCGTGGCATTGCCAATGGATGTCCCTGAGACGGTCGTCACACAGGAGCCTGGCGGAAAGGTGAGGTCATAGGTAAAACGATAAGATACAAAAAGGTAACTAGGAACTATAATGAATATAGTTGTTTGTAGATAATCTGACTCTAAATTAACATTTTATGAACTACAATTTGTGTCAATATGTGTTGGTCTCCCATGTTTTTCTTTTGCAATTTTGGATTGCTTGAACAATTACATGTCAATTTTCATCACAATTGATGCACTTGCATGTTTTCAGTTGCTTGTTGTCACATTTGTATACACATTCTCCAAATGCACTCAGACGGTGGGGAGCTGCCGAAAACGGGGACCCAACCTTCATCAGAGGAATCATGGCAAGAGACCTAGGCGACAAAAATGGAGACACTGGGAAGCACAAATGAAGTGGTCATTTTTGAAAAAAAAACTCATAGGCCATAAAATAATATTATACATATATATTTATATATTACATGACCATACAATACCATACAATACCATATAATATAATATAACATAGCATAACATAACATAATATGATATAACATAACATAATATAACATAATATAATATAACATAATAGAATATATTATATATCATCATATATCCACCAATAAAAAGTCTGAATGCTAATCAACAAAAAATCATAGAAACCACCGTAATCTGGCCACCTCAAACATCCAAAAAACCCTCCGGGATCCTTCCTTCCGGTCGTCAAACATGGCTGGGAATTCCCCCGAAAAGCTGTGGCAATTGAAATAGGATGATCATCGGATCATCCATAAATAGCAGGTTTCATTGCCATCAAAAGATTGCCCGGTCCGGCCTATTTTTTGAAGATCCATCAGCACACATGTCTTGTGCATCCTCAAAAAGTCCAAGGTTCTTCTCCCAGGTTTCGCGAAAACGCCCAAAACAGCACCATAGAGAGAGTACCAAGCACCGCTGCAATGATCCTGAGCTATCTTGGTTCGTTGACAAGGTTTCCTTTCATGGGTTGACATGGTTAAAATGGTTCAAATATGTTAAACGTTGTCAAAGTAATCCCAACTCCAGTCATAAATCAGCTACCGGGGGTCAGATTTAACTGACATGCATACCACAAATGCGTCTACACTGCTCACTTGGGAATCTTAGACACCTTCACCCCACGTTTGGGCGGTTGGGGACTTAGTTTCTTGTTGCAGCTGGATTTCAACCTCACGCCCTTTCTCCTCCACTTATCAGATAATTAACTTCAAGTCAATCTTAGGGTAGCCTTTCACCACATCAAATCCCAAACCTCACATAGAACGACAAAATGGGCTGTTTCGAGTCGCAGCCCCATCTTCCAAATTCATGTTTTTTTTTCAAAGTTCTTAGGATGTATGAATCCCCTAATCTTCTGGATGATTTTCATGTACACATGCCTCATTCCATTCCTCCACCAGGGATTCACGGACTGACCGAGTCATGGATATCACGATGATTCATGAAACGTGGTTCCACAGTCCTCTAACCTGCCAAAAATGGAGACGTCTATCATGCCTCACCCGAATTGGTGGAGAAATCGGTTTTTAGATAACCCTCTGGTAAACGTTTACATAACTATGGAAAACCACTATGTTTCATGGGAAAACTCACTATTTCTATGGCCATTTTCAAATATTTTCAATAGCTATGTTAGTTTACCAGAGGGTATGATTCGCATCCAAAATTGGGGCATCACCACAAGCCTTCATGCAGCAAAACCCGAAACGGTCGACAAGGGCCGAGAAAAGAAGGAACAAAACAAATTTGTTTGGTGATTTCACAGCCCTCGCACAATATTAGTCGAGTTTAGATTGCTATTCCACACATGAATGGAACATCATATTAACAAAAATGTGTATCATATTGTTTCAAACCACCAAATATATCAAATAAGAACCACAGCCACTCCCAATTCTTTCGGGGAAACCTTGGAAGACGCTGCAGCTATGCATCAGGAGAGTCTGTCGCTCTTTGGTCAGGTCGACTCCTGAAGAACAACATGTGCAACTGTGCAACAATCAATACCAACAGTAATATATTTAATATAGGTAATATATAATAATAATAAGAAGAAGAATAATAATAATACTAATAATAATAATAACACTAACAATAATAATAAATAAATAATAATAATAACACTAACAAAAATTAAAAATAATAATAATATTAATAATAATAAAATAACAATAATAAATTAATAATAATAATAAAATAATAATAATAACACTAACAATAATCATAATAAATAATACTAATAATAACACTAATCACCATCATCATCATCATCATTATTCCAGTGCGATTAGAAAATGCAGAAACCATATTTCACCCATAGCCATATATTGCAAGCAGCTGGACCCAGATTCCTACTTCGCTTCTTGGCATGCACCAAAGACAGCCTAGTATTGCAAATCAACATCTATATGGACCCCAAGCCACCAATGAATCTAGAAAGGCTGCTTAAATTCCTATCCTGTATTGATAAGTATTGATAAGATGCACCGCAACCGTTCTCAAAACCACCTCCGGCTTTTAACACAAGTGCTGCAGCAAACTCTGGGCGGCGTCCTATGATGAGGGAGAGAAGCATAGCAGACTTTTCAATGATCACACGCCAAGCCAGGACCAGAGTCACCTCATCGTCATGTCACGTCAACTCCATAAATAGCCAATGAAACTTGGACTGAAGGATGTGTTCTTCGGTTTTTTTTGGTGTACGGAATGCAAATCATTCCTCAAAATGCTGGTACGGAACAACACAATGCAAGACATGTATAATATATGTATTTATAAATATATATATATAAATCATAAATGTATTTGTATGAGTATGTGTATATATATATCATATAGTATACGTGATCGAATTATTCCACGTTTCCATAGGATTGTCCTAAGTAGTTGCTATACATACACCTTACCACCAAGCCATGGCCATCGCCATGGCTGCCGTGGTACTGTCACGGAGCCGATGAGCAACAGCAGGGAGCATCGCTTGGGCGGCTGCGAGCCCATGAACTGACGGTCTGTGATGCACATCAGCAGGGCCAAACCTGAGATCCCAAGATGCCCCAAGTAGGGGGCTGAAAAAAAAGAACAACGCTTTCAAAGATCATGCAAACATAGTTTAACTATTATCCCCAATTGCTATAGATCAGCTAGGGTATGCTAGGGTGAAGAGGTGCACTCGATTCAATCATAGTTTCTTTTGGGCAAACTGATCTCTGGGCTGTAACTTTGCAGTTTTCGAGTGGAGCTGGGCCAGTTTCGTGCTGCACATCCAAATCCAAGGAGGTAGACTGGGTTCTGTCTATCAACAACTGCTGAAACCGCAGCCAACGGGCCACTTCCCCGGAACTTTGTGATTTAAGATTGAATGCTGCCAGAAAACAGTTGGTTCTTTGTTTACTCTTTGCGGGTGTGCTTATAAAAAAGTGCAAAAACGCCTCTAACTCTGCTGGTTAATCATTATTGCCCCTAATTTACACGGCCATGCTGGGGTAATTATACTGTACCCCATTTTCAGAGGACAAACCCCTGTGAGGCTGTTGCTGAAGTAAGAAAAATCGCCAGGGGGATCGTCTAAGTTCACGGCTTGAATGCGTTGAATGATGCTGTGATCCAGGTGGGAATGGATCAACCTCAAATTTGGGGCGGTTGAGTAGTTTAGTACAAAAAATATTTAAATGATAAATGTTGTGGGTCATTGGTACCCCAAGTCTGATCCATACCCTTGCATGTTGTGTTGATCGATTTCATCATCAGAATAAGTAAATAATCTGATTGCTTCGGCTGAAGCTTCAGCCGGAAGTGCCATCGGCCAATCCTCCAATAAGATGACTGATCAGCTGATGAGAAGCAACTTGAGCATTATAGGATCATCATGGGATGTCGATTGAGATTAAAACATCAGAAAACTGGTTGGTGGTTGACCTAGCCCTCTGAAAATATGAAAGTCAGTTGGGATGATTATTCCCAATATATGGAAAGTCCTGAAATTCCATGGTTCCAGTCACCACCAACCAGAAAACCATGGACATCCCATTCTGATCTCACGAGGATGCTCAAGTTATTACCACTGAGATGACTCATACCGACCCCGCCATCAAAGCAAGGAACTGTAAACTGGGAGCAGGATGCCATTGAACCTCGACTTGGGATGGAAGAGACAATTCTTAGAGAATTTGAATACGTGCTATAGAATCAAAATGAATTAATCAAGTTGAGGCATCTCATATCAAGTTGAGGCATCTCATAGCTGAGATGATCGACAAATCATCAGGGGGCCACACAATCAACTTGTGCTTACGTGGTGGTTTGGGTTGGTGGTTTGGAAGTCTGGGAATTGATGGTTTTGTAAACTTAGAAAAAACAAAAAATATCAAACCCTGCAAACAATGAAATCGTTGAAAATAAAGAAAACAAATTTAAAACAACAATGATTGCTACCAGATTAGGTTTGTTTTTGAATTGATATTCATCTTGTATCTCGGAAAATGTACACTTATTTAATGTCCAATAATTTCACGTGAGTGCATTTTTCTGTACTTGTCTATTTATTTTTGAAATGGGGGAAAGACAGTTTCTTGAAACCGTGTGGTCCTATCCTGTACTCTGACTGATGCAGGTTTCATGGATTTTCCATGGAGCTTCCATGCAGGTTTCATGTTTGTTACATGCTGGGTTTGCAAATTTAGCTTACTGGTGGGTAACCTCCATGACAACTCCCTGGAACCTGCATGGAATTTGCATGGAACCTCCATGTAACCTGCATCAGTCAGAGCGCATGATAAAACCAACAAGTGTAGATAGAGGCACCACCTCCATAACGCACATGGAAACTGCATGAAATCTACATCAATTCTCCATGGAACCTGCATGGAACCTCCATGAAAACTGCATCAGTTAGAAGGCGCCATGCAACCATCACGTTTAGACAAGAAACAACGGTTACCTACATGAAACCTCCATGAAACCTACATCAATTCTCCATGGAACCTGCGTGGATACTCCATCAAGGAAGACGCCATACAATCATCAGGTGTAGATACAGGGAACATGTTCGAGTTTTTTTAATGGAAACTACATGGAAACCATCAGACGCTTTGATGCAAATCGATCGCAAATCGATCGTAACTAAATTGATCGCACAAAAACTGTTATAGCATCTGTGCGTTTTGATGTCGTTTTCACTAGGCCATCTGTCTTTGCTGATGTTTCTTTTGGTTTCTGTACTGGAAAAGTCAAATTCTTCCAGAATTTCTATTTATCCTGAGTCTTCGTTGCTTGGCGGTTTTGATGTTGGCAAGGCCAGGGTTTCAAGTGTGGACTTTGTAGTGTGTCATTTTGATGTAGGATTTCGACGTTGTTTTGCGATCATTTTGTGATCCTTTGTCGATCGATTTGACATCGGCCTAAAAACGAATAAGAAGGCCATAAAACAACATCAATATGACATCGACAAGAACCTAAGGCCTGTAGAAAACGGCACTTGCCAATTCATATATTCATATGGTTTGGTGATCATAGAATCCAAGATGACATAAGTGAGTTCATTTCTCTTGGTGGTTTCGTCCTTTAATTAACTTAGTTTGCAATATTATATGTTAGGAACCTCCATCAAGTTGACACCGAGACAGACATAAAACTCCATCAAAATGACATCAAACAAAAATTCACATTTGAAACCTTGCCAAAATCGAAACCACCAAGCAGTGAACACTCAGGATAAATAGAAACTCTGGAAGAAATTGACTTTTCCAGTGCAGAAACAAAAAGGGACATCAACAAAGACAGATGACCTAGTGAAAACGACATCAAAATGCACAGATGCTATGACAGTTTTTGTGCGTTTTTTTTACGATCAGTTTACGATCGATTTACGATCGATTTGCGATCAATTTGCGTCAAAGCGTCTGATGGTTTCCACGTAGTGTCCACTAAAAAAAAAGTCTCTGTTCCCTGTATCTACACCTGGTGCTTGTATGGCGCTTCTTTGATGGAGTATCCATGCAGGTTCCATGGAGAATTGATGTAGGTTTCATGGAGGTGTCATGTAGGTTCCGTTGTGTCTTGTGTCTAAACGTGATGGTTGCATGGCGCCTTCTAACTGATGCAGTTTTCATGGAGGTTCCATGCAGGTTCCATGGAGAATTGATGTAGATTTCATGCAGTTTCCATGTGCGTTATGGAGGTGATGCCTCTATCTACACTTGTTGGTTTTACCATGCACTCTGACTGATGCAGGTTCCATGGAGGTTCCATGCAGATTCCATGCAGGTTCGAGGGAGTTGTCATGGAGGTTACACACCAGTAAGCTAAATCAGCAAACCCAGCATGTAACCAACATGAAACCTGCATGGAAACTGCATGGAAACTCCATGGAAACTCCATGAAACCTGCATCAGTCAGAGTACTGTACAGGATAGGACCGCAATGGAATTTGTTTCAAGAGAAACTTTTTTTTCTCTGCTTGCTTTCATGTAGATTATTTAGATAGAATAGATAGGTAAGGTCACTTGGATAGAGTAGGCATATTAGATAGATAAGATAGAAAAGGTAGACTAGGTGGATTAGATAGATTAGATAGATTAATAGACAGACTTGAAAGATTAGAGGTTGGATTAGAATAGCTTAGATTAGATTAGATAAGATCAGA